TTTTTTTTTCAACCTTTGCTCCAAAACTCAAGAAGATGAAAGGTTTTAAAGATGAAGTAGAAAAAGAAATTAGCAATGAAAAAAGCAATTAAAAATGTGAAAAACGAAGTCTAGAGTGTTATGCAACTATTCAAATGCTAAATAAAATCTGAAAATTTTAATTAACAATGACCCAATGGGTTAATGGGTTCAGTTAAGAGGTTTTTTTAAAAAAAAAATTAAAATCTATGGTATTTTTTTGTTTTTTTATTGCTTTGACTGGTCTAATAGAGCAGCTCAAATTGGACTGATATCGGGTATCGAGTTTTCACTGAACTGGCTAACCTATCCGAATTTTATAATACATATACATCTCGGACCCATTTTTTACTGAATTTTGAAATATTTTAATTATTCCTTTTATTCTTGTGATTAGTAATCAAGTATAATTCTCTCAACTCATTTCGTTTTGGAGTCACGTATTACTCTGTTCACTTAAAAAAAAAAATACGGTTGCTTTTTGNNAAAAAAAAAATACGGTTGCTTTTTGGGAATTGAGATTTTATGCATTATGTGCAGACTTGTCTTCTGATTTCATACAGTCAATACATAGATTATTCTACTTACCAAAGTAGACTCTCATTTTGGGATATCCCAGCTGGATGAAGTATCACCAATATCAAGTTAAAAGTTGATTATGGGAAAGAACGGCGAATGAATGATAATAATATTTTTGAATTGAACTAAATGAATGATAATCATTTCTCTCCAATTCATCGGCATTACTTTGGACAATTTCTTCTGGCAAAGTAGATTAATTTATAGTTCACTTTATAGACGAAGACAAGCCGGTGACTTTACCAGACTACATTCCAAAACTAATTCAGGAGACATTCATGATGCTGCGAAAATTGGAAACGTTGCTGTTATTGTGTTTAATATTTTATACTTAGTCAACACTTACGTATTATTTTACTATCGAACATATATACATATTCTACACATAATTTTGATTAAATTAATATATATTGATGATTCAAATGAAATTATAAACAAGATATCATTGAAAATTACTTGCACACATTTGTCACGATTATCCCTGACAACTTCCTCGTTGTGACACAAAATTTTATTTATAGACCACTACTTGTGACTTGAAAAGAACTAAGATGATTATTGTAACACGTTGTGCCTTTTCCAGAATATATAAAATGAAATAATAATGGTAGGTCAGTAAAATAACTAGACTGTAAAACGAGACTTTATTTATATGTAGTTTGGAAAGCTTCATCACGTATTTCAACATAATCAAGGTAAAAAATTAACTAACTGTTTAGTTAGATGTGACCATAAATATTCAAATATGACTGCATGAGGCAACCTCAATATGTCGGCCAATTTTTCGGGGGCCTCATAGAAAAATTCAGCCCACATCTATTTACAACCAGCACCAAAGCCTAAAAAGAAAATGCTAGGGAATCAGATGAATTCCAGGAAAGAGGAGACCACTGTCGCCACCAGAGTATGCTGAGGATAATTGAGAGCCCAAGGGATTGTTTGCCTATGGTTTCTAAGCAGCTTTCTTTGTCCTCATTTGAGCTCAAGGGATTGTTTGGCTGTTCATGTCCCGGATCTTGAAGACGGAAGTCATAGTGGAGAATGTTTCTAAGGTCAACTTTCATCTGTAAAATTTTTAATCGAATTCTTGATTTTTCTTTTCATTTTTTGAATTCTTGCCCTTGATTCTCTGTTCTTGATTCTTGAAAATATATTCTTTTTCTTGAATTATTTATTTTTACTTCGCTATAGTTTAAAGCATGTTTGGTTTAGCTTTTAACTTACTTATTTTGCTAAAGAAAGCTACTTTTTACTAGCAAATTTTACTTATTCAGAAAGTAATTTGCTAGTGAAACTACTGTGCTAAAGACATACTTTAAATATAGTTGAAATAGGCTTCCTACTATGATTTTGATCTTGTAATCAGCTAAGTCGAGAAGGCAATTGGTATAGGGATCAATGTCGTTGATTTTAAAAAAAATTACTCATTATTTATTTATTTATTGACTTACTTAAGTTATAATATTTTTAAATATCAAAACATGTGAAAAACATGTACAATTGGTTTTAGTTCAAACAGATAAGCCAGTCAGTTAGGACTGACTTCAGGTAAGCCGCCAATCAAGACCGACTAGTTGCTACAGGCAGTAATTTGCTTTTAATTGTT